AAAGGTGAGGTTTCGTAGACAGCATCCGTTTTGGATCTCCTCTGTTCTCTCTTGTTCTGAGAGAGTAGGGAGGTGGTCCCTTGTGGGTGGCTATCGTTGGTAGCCTTTCCTACAGAAACAGGTGTCATCTCCTTGGAATTTGAAAAGATAAAAGAGCTTGGGGTTGAAATTTTTCCCTTTTTTGTGGGAGGTGAAGAGGAAGATTGGATGTGAAGACAGGTGGGAAGGGAAAGGAGGGATGGAGATACGGGGACACTCTAGTGCTGGTGTTCCTTGCACCAATCGCAGGTCTCAAAATGTCTTGCATATCAGCCACCAAGTGTGTTGGTTCCTTGCCTTTGTTAGTCCCGACTGCTGTAATTGTACGGCGATCGATTCATGGGAGGCATAAAGTAATATGAAGGTGAGGTTTCGTAGACAGCATCCGTTTTGGATCTCCTCTGTTCTCTCTTGTTCTGAGAGAGGAGTAGGGAGGTGGTCCCTTGTGGGTGACTATCGTTGGTAGCCTTTCCTACAGAAACAGGTGTCATCTCCGTCGAATTTGAAGAGAGAAAAGAGCTTGGGGTTAAAATTTGTCCTCTATTTTTTTGGGGGGAAAGAGGGAGATTGGAGGTAAAGACAGGTGGGAAGGGAAAGGGGAGATGGAGAGAGGGGGGCACTATAGTGCTGTTGTGTAGGTATATTGCACGCTTGTCCTTTTAAATTTTGGCTTTGTGCACCTCGCTCAACCACACAGCAAATGTGTGAAATGAGAATGAATATTTCGCTAGAACATGGGAAGATGCACTGCAATGTCCTTTGTTCTTGGTGCATGTGGAGAGTAGTGGAGTAAAGCCCTTAGTGTATTCCACCATGGCCGCTGTGAGGGGACTCCACCCTAGTTGTGATGCTTTTCCACCATAGCCACAAGGACATAACGCAGCAGCCTTGAGGGTGGTGCAGGTGTACCGGTTGTAACTCACAGAATTAACCGGACATTTACCTTCGTTAATCCCGTCGGTGGTAACTATATTGCAGTTGATTCATGGGGGGCAAACGCCAATTCAGGTGAGGTTTCGTAGGTGGCATCCGGTTTGGATTTCCTTGGTTCGCTCTTGTTGTCGGGCAGTCGGGAAGGGGTGACTATCATTGGTCGCCTTTCCAACATCATCTGAAAAAAGAACGAGAAACAAATGCCGAAGACTTTAGCAGGTGAAAAAGGACACAGAAAACAAATGTGAAGACGTCGGCAGGTGTTGTACTGGGTTGCATCAAAATGTACTTCGCGACTGCTCCACCATTGCTGTGGTGGTGCTGTTGCACTAGTCTTGTGGAACTACAATGCCAAAATGGGCTCGTGTGTGTGTCGACTGGGCGGCGGGGGCCGGGGGGGGGGGCGGAGACGATGTGGAAAGACGAGGTGTGGCACACCCAAAAAATAAGTAAATTAAAAATTAGAAAAAGTTGAGGAAGTTGGATTTTGATATTTCATGAATTCGAGGAAAAGGGGGGGAGATGTGGAAATACGAGGTGCGGCACACCAAGAAATAAGGTAAAACGGTAAAAGAAAAAAGGTAAGAAAAACGATTTTGATATTTCACTAATTTGAAGAAAACATTATTTTTAGGAAATTTTTGGGGCAGTGCACTGCATGTTTATGGGGGCTTTGCTCCACTACACAACACTGTACTTGCATTTGGACGTATTCTCGACTGGATGCATTCGAAGTGTTGAACTCGTTGCCACGCACCTGGTCCAGATAGTGTCCAGATCCATGTAGAGTGTTGTTTAGTGGCGCGAGGCTGTATGACGTGCACTTGCAAGTATTATGATTCCAACAAGCTCCGCTGTAGGACAACTCGTCAGTGCTTTGACTCTCTGGACACTGCTGTCAGACGATAGCCCCGAGGAGGTTATTATAACAAAATACTAAATAGCCTTGATGATCCAGATGTACCAGTTGTCAGTCTGAAAGCTAACTTGATATATCTGGTTTCATTGCCTTCGTTAATCCCGGCTGCGGTAATTATATTGCGGCCGATTCATGGGGGGCATAAATTAATAAGGGTGAGGTTTCGTGGACAGCATCCGTTTTGGATCTTCTTTGGTTCTCTCTTGTTCTGAGGGAGGAATAGAAAAGGGGGTTCCTTGTGGGTGACTATCGTTGGTAGCCTTTCCTTCAAGACAAAAGACAAAAAAGAAGGTGCGAAGGACTTTGGGAGGTGTTGCAATTGTTGCTATTGGAAAGTGCACTTGATTGCTATTCTATCATAGACCTCGATGGTGTAGTTGTACCCTAAGTTGGGGTGGTTGGGGGGGTTTGGAAGCATTCGTTTGGGGTCTATTCCAGCCACAAGTTCGATTTCAAGGCTATCCTACAATGAAAGGTACCAAAATACTGAGTCTATTCTACCATAGCGTCGATAGCGCTGTTGCATCAGTCGCAAGTCTCGAGATGTCCTGCATATCAACCACCAAGTGTATTTGTTCTTTGCCTTCGTTAATCCCGGTTGCTGTAATTGTACGGCGATCGATTCATGGGAGGCATAAAGTAATAAAGGCGAGGTTTCGTAGACAGCATCCGTTTTGGATCTCCTCGGTTCTCTCTTTTGTTCTGAGAGAGAGGAGTAGGGGAGGGGGTCCCTTGTGGGTTTCCAACAAACCAAGGAAAAAAAAGGAAAAAAACTGAGTCTATTCTACCATAGCCTCGATAGCGCTGGTGCATCAGTCCTAAGTCTCAAAACGTCTTGCGTTGGTTCTTTGCCTTCGTTAATCCCGGTTGCTGTAATTGTACGGCGATCGATTCATGGGAGGCATAAAGTAATAAAGGTGAGGTTTCGTAGACAGCATCCGTTTTGGATGTCCTTGGTTCTCTCTCTTGTTCAGAGAGAGAGGAGTAGGGAGGAGGTCCTTTGTGGGTGACTATCGTTGGTAGCCTTTCCAACAACCCGAAAAAAAAAAAAAAAAAAAAAAAAAAAACTGAGTCTATTCTACCATAGCCTCGAGAGCGCTGTTGCATCAGTCGCAAGTCTCAAAGTGTCCTGCATATCAACCACCAAGTGTATTTGTTCTTTGCCTTCGTTAATCCCGGTCGCTGTAATTGTACGGCGATCGATTCATGGGAGGCATAAAGCAATATAAAGGTGAGGTTTCCTAGACAGCATCCGTTTTGGATCTCCTCGGTTCTCTCTTGTGCTGAGAGAGGAGTAGGGAGGAGGTCCCTTGTGGGTGACTATCGTTGGTAGCCTTTCCTACAGACCATTCCACCATAGCCAGGAGAGTATTTCATGGTAGCCGTGAGGCTGTTGTGCCATCGCTCTGGTACTGATAGGCATGCGGCTGTGCCACGATAGGCATGACAGCCCAGTTGTAGTGGTTGTAAATCTCAAGGCAATCTGGGTGAGTACTTTGCGTAATTGGCTCTTTGCCTTCGTTAATCCCGGCTGCTGTGATTTAAATTGCAGCCGATTCATGGGAGGCATAAAGTATTATAAAGGTCAGGTTTCGTAGGCAGCATCCGTTTTGGATCTCCTCTGTTCTCTCTTGTTCTGAGAGAGAGAGAGGAGTAGCGGAGGGAGGTGGTCCCTTGTGGGTGACTATCGTTGGCTTTGCCTTTCCTACAAAAGAAAAAGGAATCGGAAAACGTTTTGGCTGAGAACTTGGGCGCAGGTGTGTTTCACTATTCCGGCAGAAGCACAAGACCATTGCACCTTAAGCGAAGCTATTCCATCATAGGAATGGGACTGCTCTACTAAAGGCAGGGGGCTATTTCACCCTTTCTGCTATGTAGAACTATTCCACCATAGGAAGGCGAGATGCAGGAGGCTATTTCACCTTTTTTGCTAGGCAGAAGTTCTGATGGACACTGGCTGTGTACTGCGGTCCGGACACGAGCATGGTATGATGCTCGTGTGCATGCACACACACACCGTCTTGTCCCTCCTGCGCCCCTGGCTTCCTATAGAACTCCACCCCTTAACCATTTCCTTCCTCCCGCCTTTTGTGTGCTACTAGTAAATGCACACGGATGAGCATCATAAGAGAAACAGGCAAAATATAACCCGGAGATCCGGAGTAAAATGAACAGAAGTATGCCTCCCCCTTCGCTATGCCTCTTTTCATAGCGTGCAAGTAGGCTGTTAAGGTACACGGGGATGTCGGATGTGGGCAGCTGGCGCTAAACCACAGTTAACGTGGCCAGCCTTGTTCGGTGAGCAGCTGGCACTAAACCACAGTTAACGTGGCCGGCCTTGTTCGGTGAGCCAGAGTAAAGATAGTAAAAGGGGTACCCTACAGAAAGGCAGAGTAAAGATAGTAGAGGAAGGGATATAACAGACCTATGCTTCTCCATGTTGGTTCCAATTGGTGTAAAACTGTTTCGTTGTTGGATGGACTTATCTCAACTGTGTTCCATTGTCTGCAATAGAGGTAAAGCGACTTCGATTTTGGATTAACTCGTCTGGGTGGAACAGGGGCTGTTGTGGTGAAAATGTATCCCCTCCTCCCCCCGCCCCGCCCCAAACATCTTCTACAATACTGTTTCTCTATTTTTTTTGTTTTATGGACACTTTGTGATGATTCTCGGATGGAATGAGAGACTTATTTTATTTTATTTCTTTAAATAACACAGGCAGCCACACAGCTCCGCACTCGTGAGGCAGTGCGATTAGACACGGTTAGAGTTCCTGAGGGGGGCGACTCCACACTCTTACAGTAAGACAGTGTGAGAAGACGCTGGTACAGCTCATGAGGGATGCCTGCAGTGTTTGTTGTGACTTGGTTATTGCTGATTTCTTCTTGAATGCAGGTTCTGTTTTGTGTGGGTTTTCTCGTCTTTCATTGTGAAACTATGCAGTTGGTTTGGTCGACATTGTCACAAAAAAAACTATTTGTACCGTTTTGGAATGCATTTGGTGCTGCTCCACTGCATCTCTTCTCTGCATCGTGTATCGTTCCCCCGCTCTCGCCCCCGATCTCTTATATTAAGCCTTCTGTTTCTTTTGTTCTTGTTTGGATGCCAGTGTGGCTGAAGAACTTGCAGCGTTTGGTGGTCTTTGAGTAGCTGCTGTGCGGTTTGGCCATACAACGGCTATTCGCTTTCTTGATGCACGGGAGACGCTGACGGTTCTTGCAATCGAGCTTTTGTCCGCCGTTCGTAAAAAGGGCTCCGCGTAACGGACGAGAAGGCAGGCGGTTAAATCAGAGACCCTTGGAAAGCCCTCACCTCATCATGGGTTTCATAGGTAAGCATGGGCAGCAGACCCTTCGAAAGTACAAATATAGTGGAGTCGATAGATCGATAATGTCCAAGCATATTTTTCAGCCTTACTGGGTTCGCGTAGTCAAATTGTTCCCCATCTGGATGCCCCCTAATTTGATCACCCTGACAGGATTTTTCTTTGTAGTTGGTTCGACGCTGTTGAGTTACCTGTATGCTCCACATTTAAACACCGAGGGCCCGCGGTACCTGTATCTTGTCCAAGGCATCCTTTTGTTCTTGTACCAGACCTTTGACGCTGTGGATGGGAAACAAGCACGACGCACGAACTCCTCGAGTCCGCTCGGAGAGCTCTTTGACCATGGTTGTGACGCCTTGGCTTGTGCTTTCGAGGGCCTGGCATTCGGCACGGCGCTGATGATCGGCCGAAACGTCATTTGGCTGTGGGCTGTTGCCATTATACCGTTCTACTTTGCGACCTGGGAAACTTTCCATACGGGCACTCTCACTCTGGGGGAGATCAATGGGCCGACGGAGGGGCTGTTCCTTACGTATTCCGCGCATCTTTTCACCGCCCTTGTCGGTCCAAGGTGGTGGACTCTCGATTTCAAAGAGGCGCTTCATCTTCCAGACAGTCTAAACTTTCTCCCGGCATTTCAGTTGAATACCCTGGTGATTGTTCTGATGATGATGTTCGCAGTAATGCCCACGGTCCTCTCAAATATATCGAACGTGAGCAAAGCTGTACAGTACTCGAAGGAAGGAAGCATGCATGAGGCCATCTTGTTGCTCCTTCCGTTTACCGCGCTCTGCTCGATTGTCTCAGTTTGGGCGTGGGTGTCGCCTTCCGATGTGCTTGGAAACCAGCCATATTTGCTAATTCTTGGCACAGGTTTTTCTTTCGGTTTCCTCGTTGGGCGTGTCATCCTTGCGCACCTCACCGATGAGCCGCGGGGTTTGAAAACCAGCATGTGCAAGGCGCTTCTTCCTCTGCCTTTCGCTCTTGCGAACGCCCTGTCTGCCAAGCTGCTGAATGGGAGTCCTTTGTTCGATGAGTTCTGGGTGCTCGTTGGGTTCGCGGCGTACACCTTTGGCCTGTACTTGTATTTTGCGATGAGCGTCATTTCCGAGATAACGTCGACATTGGGGATCAAGTGCTTCAGCACCAAAAAGGATCTGCATCGACAGGCATGACTATCCGAGGGTTGCGAGGTGCTGGTCGAGCCCGGGACTCCTTGTTCGTAACGGTTCTTCCCGCCTTCTGCTTGGCAGCTCGCGCTCTTGGGTTTCCGGAGCGGGAAGGAGAGGAGAAGGTAAAGGAGGGAAAGACCAGCAGCACTCCTTGAGGTGAGGACAGAGAGTGAAGCCCTCGCAAATTCAAGTGTCGGGAGCTGCTGAGTGTGCCTGGCGACATCGTGCCACCCATATCTTACCTTGTTTCGCTCTCCGTTTTTCGTAGTTTCGTGTTCTTGGAGTTGCTGAGCAGGAAAGAGGAGGGGATCATAAGGAGGTAGAGGAAGACAGCACTTCGTTCCGTCATTCGAATAAAGCTTGCCGGTCGAGGAGAACCTGAATTGATGTGTACGTTGCTTCTGACGTCTTGTTATTGGCAAATGCTGGGGAGTTGCTGCAGCAGCCTTATACAATTCACTAGGTACTTCTCTGCTGACCCATGTTCGCCTGATTATTTTATTTCTATTCTCATCAGTCAATGCGCCGTCGTCCAGGTGTGAAGTTAGGTGCTTTTGCTGAGTGGATGATAGTTGGGCCCCGTGCTCGCCGGGCGTGAACTGAGCCAACTGCAGGTAGACATGTTTGAGTACATTGTTATGTGTGCAGGCCGCTCCCGTCACGCTCGGGCGCTGCATCGCTCTCAGCTTTACCCACGCTTGTGTGCTGGACTGTCGTCCGACTCAGGAGGTCCTGCCGAAGAGAAGATGGTTGCATCGTTGGTTGCATTGTCGCCGATCTGTTTGTTCGTCAGCGGGGTTGTGCATTCTCTGGCGAGAAGTCTCTGATTATTTTCAGCTGCTCATTGGTTAGCGTGGGTGGAGAAGATCGTGGGGGCTTTCTTCTCTGCTTCGGCCCTGTGGATGTGGGGAAGTAAGTGCGCTGTCCTCCTTTTCGCAATGCCCACTGAGTTCTAATTTTCATCTCTGCTCCTTCGAAATGATTATCATCTGTGCGCGACTATTTTGCGTGTGCTAGCATTGTTGGATTGTTTGTTTTTGTATCTGAATTGTTAAGTTGTTTTGCACGATTACTGATTAGAGGTTCTGGATCTCAGTAGCATCACTTGAGATAGGCTAGAAAAAAGAGGTGCAGAACCGTTAGATTGATTTATCTGTACATCTACTAGATTATGCTGGCGGCATGGCTCCCGGCATGTGGGAAACTCCCTGGGTGATTTTCCATTTGCTTTCGGGCCCCCTATGACCATTTAAGTGATGGAATGAATGTATGGCTAATCAGCCTCCTATATAGCACGGTCATCACCTTGTTGTTTCTGTGTAGCGAGTCCATGGATGCGAGGTGAGGCTTTTCTAAGCAATGGACATTGTTCACGCCTATTGCTCGACTTTTTGACATGTGGAAGCGAGGCCCCGGATGCGAGGTGAGATTTTTCTTACGCAATGGACCTTGTTTTCACACGTATTACTCGACGTTTAGACATGTTTGAGGAAGGAAGTGACATCCCAGGAAAAATACTTCAGCCCCATGGAAGGGGGGAGACATACTTTTGGCTACTCAGCTCTCTTACCGCTGTCATCAACTTGAAGTCTCTCTCTGTCTTTAGTTATGCCTGGGAAGACCATGGGAAGACAGGTGGCAGATTCTCTGGGGATGGATTTTAGATCGCTCGTGCCAGGTGTAAAGAGCGCAGGAATCGCTCTCGGCTTCCGTCAGGCTAGAACGAGCGGAGGACGAGGACGTATGTTTGGCTATAACAAGCTCCTATCGTGGCCATCAACTTGTTCTCTCTCCTAAGCGAGTCCTCGGAAGACAGCTGACAACTCTAGGGATGGACTTCAGGTCACTTGCGTCTTTAGTATGTCGGGAAAGGAATATATATGTTGTGTGTGTGTGTGTGTGTGTGTGTGTGTGTGTGTGTGTGTGTGTGTATATATCTAGGACTAACGCTTGCCAGTCGTGATCAGTGCGGGAATCGCTGCCAGCTAAGGTTAACCAAGAACCACAGGTGGGTGGGAGTAGTAGTTTCCCGGCGGGGKGGGGGGGGGGGGGGGGGGKACGGACATGTATTTTCCGTGCGTTGTTTTCTTTTCCGATTTCAATGTCACGACAGGGACACGGAGTTTGTTCATATATGCGTTGAAAATGTTGGCGAAGTGCTGGAGGTGCAACTAGGCCTTGTTTATGAGGGAATTTATTTTTTGGCTGTGTTTTGTTCGTCTGTGTCTTTGTCCTTTTTGTTCGTTTGTCGCACAGAGCTCGTCGTGCAACTCGTCAGTACGTTTCGCGTGCATGTTACAACGCATCCTCGACCCGTTTGCTTCTTGCTGTTTAACGCATCTGCTCAACGGGTTCGCAAAATATGTTTTTCTCTCAAGTTAAATCATTGAATTGATCAGTCCTAGGTGAGTAGGAGTGATTTTATTCTGTTCATCTGATAGGATTCGAGCTTGAGTCTGTATTTCAACAGTCGGGTGTACCAACTGAGCTAGGCACGTCTGTAAAATACAGTGTTGTCCTGGCTTCTGATACACTGAATTGTTGTGGGGAAGGAGGGCCTGCTTGACACTGCTGGCCTTTCCGGTCCGGTAGGCCAAGCCTTTCCATGGCACGGTGTTAACCGCCAGATGCTCATGGGTAGGAGGGTTGGGTACCGGTGTGTTTAGTGAAACCTGTCCATGCCTGTCGTGGAACAGATTCCATAACACACGCACACGTGGCGGAAGGATCGCCTTGTTCTTTCTTTGAGCAGAGCTGCTTGTTCTGTCTTTGAGAAGAGGTTCCGCTATGACTGGAGGCCCAGGCACGCGCTGCCAGAAAAGCACGCATCTAGTGCCCTCTTGCATGAAAGCAATAACAGGGAGAACATAAGCAGGAGGGAGGACCCTCTTGCAGCAAAGGTGCGACCTTTTTCCTCGCTGTTCGGTATGGAGGGAGTAATGTGCTGTGTGCCTACTTAGAACGCTGGTACTTCTGCGCCACTTTCTTCCATGGCTCCATCCATCTTCACCTGAATAAAATGCCTTGTCATTTTATTGCTGCATTTGGCCCAACTTTAAGTCCCGATGCAGCGATAAGGACCGGGCGTTCTATTCGGGGAAGACGGTAGCTCTGTAGAACCGCCTGCACTCCTTTTTTTGTCCCTTTGGCTGGCTCTGCCAGCCTTTTGGTCCGCTAGCCGACAAACCCGGCGAATGGGGCGCACATTTACGCCAAGCGCCCACGGCCTATGCATGTGCCAAGTACAAGTGGTTTCAATTCCCAGCCAGCCTTTGCGACCCTGATTGTGGCTGATAGATAGCAAGGGGCAGGTGCCACTGGTGCAAGTTTATGCATATGCTTGAAAAGTATGAATGAGACCGTAATGGCGTTCAGGTTCGTCCTTATCCTGAGATAAACATAGCACCAGAGCGGCCTGCCTCTTAACCTTAGTGCTGTTTTGAACCCTGCGAGCTACTAAGGAATGCAAGCTACTTGTATCTTATTGCGCTGTTGTGTCCTTCGGGACATCCATTGTACGTTTGGACGAATGCTTTGCGGAAGGTTTGGAGGATCTTGGGATTCCGGAATGTTGTGCGACCGTAATAATGTACGTACTACCATTGTACTTAGGATTGTACTTTGTGTCGAAGACAAGAAACTACTTGTCTTCGATGGGTTGCTTGACGCTCTTTGCATACTGTACGTGTGAAGACTGTTTGCAAAATTGCACCCGGACGGTCTGGAATGGTATACGAACATCCGGATCGTAACCATGCTGATGACTCCACGAATATTGATCAGCTGCTGTGTGGGGGAGTGTTGGGCTTGGACACTGCTGATACTTGATCTGGGCGGCGGGGGGGGGGGAGGGAGAGGGAAGGAAGAAGAAAGAAGGAGGTGCAGATACTGGCTATATGCTTGGGTCTTTTTGTTATCCAGGCCCACCGATGGCCCTGTGCTACTTGCTGGCTATGATTTTCTGGACATTGGGGCGACGTTCGAACTCTTCATTCAATGGTATCTATGCTTGTAGGGTTCCCTGTGCCTGGCCGCTGCCTCACAAGCCTTAAGAGCTTAAGAGTCGTGACAGGTAAGTAGTGAAAGGTGAATTTGAGAGGAGAATCAAACTGCAGTCCCTTAAACCCTACCGGCAAAATGCTTGCTATATGCTTGTACTTGGACCAGATATCGATGCCGAGACTGAATATGCCCTGCAAGCCGTCTTGCGCTGACCCGCCAGCAAAAGAAAAAAAAAATGTTTTGGCTGGCGGCGTCAGCCTTTCAGGTATGGTACCCAGGGCCTCCAAAACTTGCGGGGCGTTAACGACAACGCCCCGCGGCCAACATATGAGCCAAGTGCTGGAGGTTTAAGATGAAGAAGAAAAAGAGAAAATAAAAAAGGGCTTCCGGCGACATCTCTGCGAAATATTAGGTCCAGAAAACAACATGTCTCTGACACAATATGTGAGAAAGTCGTTGATGCGTGCGGAGAGTAGTTAGTAATGGATTCGCAAATTGGGCTTCTCATGACGGAGGAGGTACGAGGTCCAATTTGCGGATCCAATTGAAGAATCTTTTATATGTCACTCATGGTCAATCTTTGTTTCAACGCAGAACCTACATGTGTTTTTTTTTTTTTTTTTTTTTTTTTCGTTTTGTAATTGGCAGGACCTACCTGTGTTTTTTTTTTTTTTTTCAAGTGTCAAACTTTCCCTTCGACCCTTCATGATAGCGCAGGACCTCCCTTTTTTTTTCTTTTTTTTTTTTAATGTGGCCTGATGGACAAGGGATCAGATATTAAATTGAACAGAACAGATACTACACTTTATCTGTTTTTAGCCAAAAGGCCAAGAAAGGTATACCTACCTGTATTTTGTATACACTGACTTAAACCACCAGTACTTGGCCCAGCTATCAGGGGCCGAGGGAAAAAATAGAGTAGAAACGTTTCTAGTTGGAAGAATTTGGGCGCTCCTGTAGTGGCCCGTACATTTACTAAAATCGAGTAGCGTTAACAGGCACGGCGTAAGGAAGTACTGGTGGTTTAACTACACTCCCTGCGCATCAACGACTTTCTCACATTGTGTCAGAGATATCGCTGGAAGCCCTTTTTGACCGGAAGCCCTTTTGGAGATATGTCACGGTCCTTTTTTGTTTTCTTTTATTTTTTTAACTGCAGCTTGATTCTCCTCTCAAATTCACCTTTCATGACGGAGGAGGTATGAGAGCCAATTTTAAATACACTCCTTTCCAGTGAAGTAGCCTCTCACATTTTCGGGGGAAAGAAAAAAACGGAATATGGGAGTATACACTGCTTTCCAGCCATGTGCGCAGAGAGAGAGAGAGAGAGGCTAATTCCATCGATAGGATGAGCGAAATCGGAGGGAATCTTCTGCTAGAACATGGACATATACACTGCCAGTTTCTTTTTTTTCCTTTTTTTTTTTTGTGTGCGTGTGTGAGGGGGACACAGAGACCGAGAGAAAACAGGTACGTCCCCAACCTGGCGGCGGGCCTGATGCTACTTCCGATGATAGGATGAGCAAAACCGAATGGATCTTCTGCTAGAATATAGTAGTATACACTGCCACACTTGTAGATTCAGTCTGCAAACCTGCGGCCACAATGGATCCCGTTCATAGAAGCGCGCCAACATCAGCCTTCTGCCCGAGTATTCGACGCGATTGTTGCACAATTGCGCCGCTCAAACTCCGTTCACACCGTCCCAAACAGTTGCAGCCAGTCTCGAAAAAACAAAATCGCCGAAAAACAATCTTTGAACTCTACCCACCAGACTCAAAACGATAGTTGGGTGTGAAAACAGAACCTCGGAAAACTAATGCTAGAACACTTGCTGGCAAACTGAAGGTTTCTGGTGTGCCCGGCCCCCCATCTCCCAACCACTTTCTAAACAGTGCGAATTGGCTTCATGGGCCCGGCTCTACTCTTTAAAGAAGATGAGATGAATGTGGTCAGCGTGTGTCGCCCCACTGTGATAAAGGTAGACAAACAGTCCTTTTGCATCGACATAGCGCACCTATATAATTGGTAGAGGCGGGGGATACGTTTCCGTTTAGTTGAAATACAAGGTCATCTCCTGGTAGGAGATGGAGCTCTCAAAAGGCAACAATGTTCACCGAGGTTTGAAGGGTTGCTAATACTAGTTGCGTCAACATATCCTTCCAGGCAAAAGCTATACCCATGCGTCAAATGATTCCAGCTCTAAATCCTGGCCGTGTCATATGAAATCCCTCATGTACCACTTATAACCGACCTTTTTTAAGTCTGATTTTTATTCCCCACGTTAAGCGGATAACATTTCCTGAATCTAGTACTTGGCCCAGTTATTGCCCGTGGGCGGTTCACGCTAATGTGCCTGTAGTTGCAGGCTTCGGGGCACCGAACCACAATGGGTGGAAGGGCACAGTCAAAATGAGAACGAGACGGTGCCCAGGCGGCTCGGCAATGCTTGTCATGCAGGGGGTATCCCAGCTCGCCATCGAGAAGTCAGTGACAATTTGAGTGGATGCCTGCGGGGGAAAAAAGGTGAAAGAGTATTTTGTGCTCAGAAGAATGCACCGTAAACCTAGGCTGTTTTACGGGTGTCCGGGCAACCGACTTATGCCCAGGTACCGCCCGGGTGCCAGGACGGGCATGATCCTCGGGCAGGGTTCCGGGCAGCACCAGCGCAAAAAAAAGTAGAGAAAAAACTTCAAAACTTCAGCAAAAAAAGAGAATGTTGTGTAGAATTCCAATAAAAACGACTTTTGGCTGACATTCACATTAGAATTCCTCACGGAATCGGAGATGAAAAGGAAAATAACAGACTAACGCGAAGGCACCCCCCTTCAAAGCCCTTTAGCCCCTTCAAAACCAATTTGGACCCCCCTCCCCATTCCCCCCCTCTTTGAAAGCCGACTCCTAGAAAAAGAAATGAGCCCGGATTTGGGGTCCTCCCGGAGAGCGCAGAACCCCCCCCCATTCCTCGAAAAAGAAATAATAAAAATAAAAAA